ATATTGGGGGAGAGAGAGAGACAGAGTTATATAGGAGGCAAAAAGCAAGATCCACAAAATAAAAAGGCAAACAAAAATTAGAGAAGCTATACAAGAGTACAGTTTCACAACAGTATTTATATCAGTAGGACCAGGTTAATTTACCAGTATAATAACTGGTCTAATATTGACATTTTCATACTGAATAAAATTTTATTCCATTTGATAGAAATATGGGTTATGAATTCAAAAGAAGGTATTTTATTACATGTTTAGTCTTTCTGATGTTGATCATTAACTCATCATAATTATAGATTTTAGTGAATTGTGTTTATACTTTTTGAAACATGTTTCAGTCACAAATCCTTTCTTATATATTAAATAATTCTTATTTAATTCAGAAAAAGAAAGAAATAAAGTCAAGATACAGACAACTCCTTTAGAGTAGAGGAGATATGTTATGGATTGAATTGTATCCCCAAAAAGATATTTTGAAATCTTAATCCCTGTACCTATGCATGTGACCTTGTCTGGGGCAATGGGGATTTTCTTTTGTGATTGGTTAGGTCTAATGAGATTATACCACAGTAACTGGGTCCTACACCTAATCATTTCTGAATGATGTCTTATAAAGGAGAATAAAGACACAGACACACAGGGGAAAGATAGTTATCATGTGACAATGGAGCTGGGTACATCCATAAACCCAAGAAAACCAGGGATCTTTAACAGGTTCTAAAAGCTGAAAAGACAAAGAAGGACCTTCCCTTAGAGCTGATGTCCTGATTTGGACTTCCAGCCTCCATAAATTTCTGTTCTTTGAAACCACCTACTTTGTGGCTTTGTTTATTTATTTATTTTTGCTCCAGTAGCCCTTGGAAACTAAGGCAGGAGAGTATTGTTGTTTTTGTTTTGCTTTTTAAAATAGATGATAACAGTGATGATAGTGGATCAATAGAAGGGGGGAAATTAATTTTACAGGAGTGAGAGGAATGAAATCATTGAGTAAGCCAGAGAAGATGGATTCAGAGCACAAGTAGAGATAATCCTTAATCAGAAGTGGGAAATACATTATATATGTAGACAGGCGTATAGGTTTGTGTTGAGAGTGTATACATTTCTTATTATGTCTATTTTCTCAATGAAATAATAAGGGAGAATATTAGCTGAGAGGAGACAAGACAGGGTACTTGATGTGTGAAGAGACTGAAGAAGATGTGAGGTAGTCCATTTAGAGACAATTACTGCGGTCTTATTTGAAGAAAATGGTCATGAATTTAAAAAGAGTTTTGGAAAAAGGAGAAAGAGTGGCTCCAACTGCATGGGTGATGTATGGACAGATAATCAGGCTTAATCAAGGCAGATTTTTTTTTCAAGAGGAATATATGGGGAGAGAGAGAGAGATATTGAAGTCATGCAAGAAATTATTGTAATGAAAGATACATGAGAACTAGCCAAGTGTGGACCTGATGAACACAAAGAAGTGGTAAAGTCAATAGCTTGGATGTCCTAGTGGCTTCAAAAATTGTCAGACAGAGTAGCAATAGGAGTGGGTTGGAAAAAGAGGAAGTGGTGGTTAAAGAATATCTAGCTTGAAACTTAGATTTAGAATGGGTAAAGTAATAGTAACAACGAGTTCTAGGGTACGACCCTAGAGTAAGTGGCTGAGATGGTTTTGAGGAAAGATTGTTGGTTATGAGTATGTCAAGGAAGTCATTGAGAGGCTGGATGTTGAAATCACTTAAAAATGATACCAGAATTAGAGAGAGAAAAATATGCAGAAACAGTGGCCTAGGTTCTAATTTTTTTCAAACAGAAGGTCTTAAGAAATAAAAAATGGAGAAATGGTGATGAATATTTTTAAAAACATTTTAAAATATGTTTTAAAAACTAGGTAAGTATATGGATATGAATAAAAGAAGAGGTAGAAATATATATACAAATATATGAATATATAAGAAGATATTTGGCCTCAGAAAAAAAATCAAAGAAACATTTATAAAATGAACAACATTCAGCATTAAAGAGGAACCAGAGGAACAGCACCCTCATCTATTGTTAGTAAGAATGAGTATGAGAACAGTATCAACCTCCTGATTGGTAGTTGGAGATGCTTATTAAAATCTAAAATATGCATATCTTTTGACCTATCAAACTCCCTTGCAGAAATTTATCCTAAAGGAATAAGGGCGAAAACCCTCAAAACATACATGCATCTCAGCTTCAGTAACAATAGAAAAACATTCAAAATTATTAGTAGCAATAAAAAGATACATACAAGAGAATGCTGAATGAAAAAAGTATGCTACAAAATAGCATGTGTAATTTTGATCATATTTACATTAATAATATACATGTGGTTTTATGTGTATGTATGTATGTAAGTGTCCAATTTGACATCTGAAAGAATGTTCACAATCATGCTAAGGGTGAATGAATTTTTGAATTTTTGATCATTTTACTTTCGAGTTTATGTGTTTCTTTCTATATTGTTTGGATTGTGTATGAGGACCACCTACGACACTGATGATTAGATTATCACTCCGCAGGTCCTTTGCTTTTGTTCTTGCCTTTACCTGAACACGCTCTCTCCTCCTTCAATTCTCTGCTCAAATGTCCTGCATTTGAAAGGTGTATTTACCACTCAATTTAAAATAAAATATACTTTAATTTTTTTTGTTGTTGTTTTTGTTAGGTGCCATCAAGTCAGTTCTGACTCATAGCAACTCTATGTACAGCAGAAGTAAACAAATTCACAATTTTTCCTACACCTAAGCCCATTATTGTAGCCACTTTGTTAATCTATCTCATTGAGGGTCTTCCTCTTTTTGACTGACCCTTTACTTTACTAAGCATTATATCCTTCTCCAGAGACAGGTCCCTCCTGGTAACATGGCCAAAGTATGTGAGATCAAGTCTCATCATCCTCACTTCTAAAAAGCATTCCATGTTCTCTTCTTCTAATACTTCTAGGACAGATTTATTTGTTCTTCTGGCAGTCTGTGGTATCTTCAATATTCTTCACCAATACTACAATTCAAATGCATCAATTCTTCCTCAGTCTTTCTTGTTCATTGTCCAGCTGTCATATGCATGTGAGGCTATTATATCATTGCTTGGGCCAGGTAAGCAACGTGATGATTTTGCTCTTTAAGACTAATTTAAAGAGGTATTTTTTTTTCAGCAGAAAGAAATCTGGTGGTATATTGGTTAAAGCATTTGGCTGCTAACTAAAAGGTCAGTGGTTCAAAACCACCAGCTGCTTCGCAGAAGAAAGATGAGGCAGTCTGCTTCTATAAAGAGATTTATAGCCTTGGAAACCCAGTGCTATGAGTTGGAATTGACTTGATGGCAGTGGGTTTGGATTTTTTTGGTTTTGCAGCAGATTTGCAAACCTACTTTGCCTGATGTAAACTAATTTTTATTAGTTTATTTATTTGTTGTTTACTATCTGATCCCCATCCCCCACTCCAACTAGGACTTTGTTTTGTACTAAACCGTATTCCCAATGCTATGAAAAGTGCCAATTACATGTCAGCCACTCAATAAATATGAATTAAATGAATGATTATGTATCTATTAAATGAATGAGATAGACAGATACCTCAGAACTTATTGTGAGGTGCCATCAAGTCAATTCCGACTCATAGCAACCTTCTATACAACAGAACGAAACAGTGCCTGGTCTTGTGCCTTCCTCACAACCCTTGCTATGCCTGAGCCCATTGTTTCAACCACTGTGTCAATCTGTCTCATTGAGGGTCTTCCTCTTATCCTTCTCCAGACACTGGTCCCTTCTGACCATGTGACCAAAGTAGGTATGACAAAGTCTGGCTATTCTCATTTTTAAGGAGCATTCCAGCTGCACTTTTTCCAGGATAGATTTGCTCATTCTGGTGGTGCATGGTATTTTCAGTATTCTTTGCCATCTGAGAACATAATAGAATGCAAATATTCTTGCACTTTTATTCTAACTCTCCAAAAGAATTTTACAAAAAGGTCTTGATTAAAAAAAAAAAAAGGAGAGGAATAACTAAGAACACTTCAAGTACTGGACATAGAAAATAAAAATCTTGCTCACAAGTCTGCATGCAACCAGTAACCACATCCCAACCTACAAGTGGGCAAACTTTAAAAACTGGCATACCTTAGATTCATTCTTCTTTTATGTTCTGTATACTGTAATTTACTGTCTGAAGTCCCTGTTCATTGTTGATTATGCTGACTCTCACTCATGGTGCCTTTTTTCCTCATGCAATTTGTAATTTTGTATCATGAATTCTGTCTTTGTCAGTGCTCTATCTGTGTGAATCCAGTATGTTCTGAGCTAGATGTATGTCCTTCCATGAAGTATTTTCTTTTGCTTTTGCTGTGCACCTAAGGGCACTCTGAACCCAGGACCTCTTTAAGTTCTCTCATCTTGCACATAGAATAAATTCAAACCCCAAATCTTCATGAGAAAACACACAAACACTTCAAGTTTTGCTTGGTGCCCATACTACTGATGAGAAAATTTTTACTTTATGTTCAGGTTAATTTTATACAGCATTTCTCTTCATTAAATAGTCATAAATTTAATTGTACTTTCAATGTGGAAAGGAAACCACATGTTTTTCTCTTGTCAATCATTGAGCATCATTGATTCAAATTAAGTGCTTTTTCTGCTGTTGAAAGTCTGTTCCTCAAATCTTGTGATTAGTTACACAGGAATCTGAGAAGGAATAAATGGAAATTTCACAGTGACCAAAAGAAATTTCCTTTCCCCCTTATTTTGGAATACTCTTTCTTTGGCCAAATAGATGGACTCTGAAAGTTCTTATGCTGACATAAGAAGTATGGGACTGATTATGCCTTGCATGGAACCCAAGCCCAGGGACTCAGGGATCAAGGCATGTCATCCACTACAGCTCCTATTCATGGGTGCTTTAGTTTCACAGTCCTAGTGATCCTATTTAGAATCTTGGAGAATTTTAAAAAATCGTAACTGAGACGGGGAAAAACCACCTTAAAGTTGCATTTACCTGTTTATTTCTCAGAGGCTGAACCACTTCCTTCAGGCACAGCTGTAGGTCATTGAGATAGTCTTTCTCTGTTTGTATCAGCTCCTTAATGATTTTTGATCGCTTTGCCATCATTCTCTTCATCTGACGCTCTTCTTCCTGGGTTAAGGCCTCAGCTGCAGAACACCCTGCTTGTGGCGTCATCTTTTCTGTTAAATGAAAACATGTACATATGAAGCTTTCTACTGAGGTTTCTTTTTCCTGTTAGCAAGGAAAAATTCCTATGGGTACTGCATGTTTAGGAAGTGACACACACTAGGTTCCTTAAGGTCAGAACTATGAAACTATGAAGGAGGAGAGATGATAATGGGCAATTTTTTTCACTTCCATTGATTTATTATTATAAAAAATACATATACACAACAGAACATTTGCCAATTTGACATTTTTCATGAGTGCGATTTAGTGACATCAATTATATTATCATGTGCAACCATCACCAATATCTGTTGTCAATTTTTCATCATCATAAACAGACACTCAATGCCTCCTAAACAATAACCCCCCTTTCCCCCTTCCCTCCTGCACCTGGTAACCTCTGATAAACTTTGTCCTCTATACATTGCCTATTCTAGACATTTCATACAAGTAAAATCTTTCAATATTTGTCCTTTTGTGATTGACTTACTTCACTCATCATACTGTCTTTTAGGCTCATCCATGTTGAAGCCTGTATCAGGACTTTATTTCTGTTATAGCTGAGTAGTATTCCATTGTATGTATACTCCACATTGTTTGTCCATTCGTCTTTTGATAGGTATTTTGGTTGTTTCCACACCACCAATGAACACTGGTATACATGTATCTGTTTGCATCACTGCTTTGAAATTCCTTAAGTATACCAGCCACTCCTCGGAAGGAAGGTTGGGCAATCCTACTTCCGTAGTGATACTGCCTCGGACACCCAAGGGGGGTCGCTATGAGTCGGGGCCGACTCGACGGCAAATAACAACAACAACAACATACCTAAGAGTGGAATGTCTATGTCATATGGCAGTTCTATAAGGAAAGACCAAACTATGTTCCAGATGTACGAGTTTACATTCCCACCAACAATGGTTGAGATTTTCAATTTCTTCATATTCTCACCAACATTTGTTATTTTCCTTTTGTTTATCTTAGCCAACCTAGTGAGTGTGAAGTAGTATCTCATTGCCATATTGGTTTATATATCCCTAATGGCAACTGAAGACTGTAGTCTTCAGTATGGATTACACCTCAACATAAAATGAAAATCCTCACAAAGAGACCAATAAGGAACATCATGATAAATGGAGAAAACATTGAAGTTGTCAGGGATTTCATTTTATTTGGATCTAGAGTCAACATCCATGGAAGCGGTAGTCAGAAAATGAGATGTATTTCACTAGGCAAATCTGCTGCAAAAGACCTCTTTAAAGTGTTAAGAAGCAAAGATGTCCGTTTGAAAAGCTGACTCAAGCCATGGCATTTTCAGCTGTCTCATACGCATGTGAAAGCTGAACGATGAATACTGAAGACTGAAGAAGAGTTGATGCTTTTGAACTGTAGTGTTGGGGAAGAATACTAAAAATACCATGGACTTCCAGAAGAACAAACAAATCTCTCCCAGCAGAAGTGCAGCCAGAATGCTCCTTGGAAGTGAGAATGGTCAGACTTTGTCTCACCTACTATGGTCATTCCCTGGAGAAGGATATCATGCTAGTTAAAGCTGAGGGTCATCAAAGAAGAGGAAGACCCTCACTGAGATGTGTTAACATAGCTGTTGCAATGAAGGATTTAAGCATTGCAAGGATGAGGAGGATGGTGCAGGAGTGTTTCCTTCAGAGCTGACTTGACTACAGTGAGTTTTTTTTTGTTTGTTTGTTTGTTTAACAACAACAACAATAGGTAATGATGTATAGTATCTTTTCATGTGCTTGTTGGTCATTTGTATTTCTTCTTTGGTGAAAGGTCTATTCAAATCCTTTGTCCATTTTTTAATTGGATTGTTTGTCTTTTTGTTCTTAATTTGCAGGAGTTCCGTAACAAGTTGAATGACACTTAACTGTCATGATCTGTGCATAAAATATCCTGTTGCTGCTATCTGAGGTTAGAAAGCCAGACTTCAGAATGGGTGCAGTGTGTATAAACATACAGATCAGAATTTCTTGTGGATGTGTTTGTTTTTAAATCAAGGGTATAATTAGTAGTATACCTTGCAATTTGGTTTTTGCCTAATATTAAAAATAACTGTACTTGTTTTCAGTGAGTAGTATCCAAACCTTAAAAAAAAAAAAAAAAAAAAAACTGCCGTGGAGTCAGATCTGACTCATAGTGACACCTCCTTGGGTTTCCATGGTGGTGTCACTACAGAAGTAGATTGCCCAACCTTCCTTCTGAGGAGTGGCCTTAGGCACTACACTACTGAAGTGAGATAGAAAACAACTCCACATGACTGGTTGCTTCCTATTTGTTTGTTTGTTTTTCAATTCATACTTACCAAAATTCATAATAAGTGAGACAGGCAGTTTAAATGAACTTCAAATAAGATTTAGTTTTACAGATTACCTTCAACAGTATGCATATCTGGTGACGTAGTGCCTAAGGTATTTGACTGCTACCCAGAAGGCTGGCGGTTCAAACCCACCAGCCACTCCTTGAAAGGAATACTGGGCAATCTACTTCCATGGACAATACTGCCTCAGAAACCCAAGGAGGGTTCACTATGAGTTGGATTTGACTAGATGGCAGTGAGTCTGGGTTTTGGTACGCATATCTTGCTATTTCAAAATTATTGAATTGCCAGACAGAAACATTTAATTTTAAAAATCACAGGACTGAGTTGTTGAAACAAATGGGAAATGTCATTTAGTGAAGTTTTATATGAACTGTTAAAGTAAGAAAACTAAACATCCTCAAGGAAGACCTTCTCATGGCAGTACAACATTTTGGAAGCTACAAACAAGACCACACACTATGGAATCAGAGCAATGACAGATATCAGAGAAGGGTATGTATATATGTGTGTGGGGGGGGAGGGGTGCATTTATGTGTATGTACATCTAAGGAGCTCTGGTAGCATAGTGCCTAAGGCACTTGACTGCTAACCAGAAGGCTGGCGGTTCAAACCCGCCAGCCACTCCTCGGAAGGAAGGTTGGGCAATCCTACTTCTGTAGTGATACTGCCTTGGAAACCCAAGGAGGGGTCGCTATGAGTCGGGGCCGACTCGAAGGCACATAACAACAACAACAACAACATCTGTAAGTGGATTTATTAAAAGCTTGAAACCACCACAAACTTAATTTTCACCTTAGTCACTGCAGTTAGAGAAGCAATTTTATTTCATTTAAAACTAATGCAATTCCAGTAATTATGTAAGACATTTTCAATGTTGATACTACCTCCTGAGATGAAGAACTTTCCAGAGAGGCCTATTAAATGGTTATTCAGGAAAAAATGCATAGACCACAATGTATGCAAGTGGAAAAAGAGAGAGGACAATCCAGAGACTGACTCCAGCAACAAAGCTAAGACAATTAGAGAGTGTTACAGTAAAGTAGTTATTGGTTCAACATAAAGAGAATGAGAAGAGAGACTTCAAAAAACAGTGGGAATTCTTGCCTCCATGCACCATTAACTTCAGAAGTTGAGGCAGAAACTTAATAATCAAACATCTGTGGAGAATGTTGTAAAGATAATTCTAGAATTAGTTTGGCATTTACACTAGGTTGATCTATCCTGGATTGAAGACAAATATGGTGTTGGACCATTTCCTTGGGAACAATTGTTCCTTCTTTGGGAAAGAAGATAGATTTGACAAACAACACCTAGGAGCATATGGTTTCACAACATTTGGGTAATTCAGTGCCAGAGATCATCTACATAAACTACATTTAAAGAGAGAGAGACAGGGAAAATCTAGACAAGGAGAGAGAATGCACGCATGAAGTGTTCTGCAGTTTTCATATTCTTGATCAATGTTACGAAAGTTTTTGGATTCTTGTGATGGTGTAGTAACTAAGGTATTTGACTGCTAATCAGAAGGCTGGTGGTTCAAACCCACCAGTCACTCCTCAAAAGGAAGACTGGGCTATCTACTTCCATAGAGATACTGCCTTGGAAATCCACGGAGGGGTTGCTATGAGTCAAACTGACTTCATGGCAAGGAGGTTATTTTTTTTGGTTTGTGAATTTGTAAAAGACCTCTGGTGGCATAGTGGATAAGGCATTTGGCTACTAACCAGAAGTTTATCATTTCAAACCCATCAGACACTCAATGGAAGGAAGATCTACTTCCAAAAATATTTACAACCTCAGAAACCCAATGGGAGTTGCTATGAGTTGGAATCAACACTATGGCAGTGAGTTTGGGTTTTTTGTTTTGTTTTGTTGTGAATTTGGAAGACATTTATTAGGGTATAGGAAGAACCTACCTTTCAGGGTCCCAAATGACAAAGAAAAAGTTATAATTGGGTGTCATTACTATCAATTATTTTGGGTATAAAAAAAGGGAGCAGGTCAACCCTGAGGGAGATGCAACAGCCAGGCTGTGTATAGAATTTGTTCAAATGTGAGTTTCCCTTTGGTTACCCCTTCTAAAGGGCCAGGGCTTGTGAGGCAGAGGGCAAGGCACAGAAGTAAGGATTCTTTATTCCTGGGCAGGGTGAACAGTTTACATTCGCCCACTTACCTAAAGATTGGTGGTTCAACCTCCCTCCCCCAGTGACAACACAGAATAGTTACCAGAAGGAAACCTCACTAACAGAGAGCCCACAAAACAGTGCAGATTGCATCTGATTACTATTTAACACCATTCTGAAAATAAAAAGGGCACTATTGAAAAACTGTGCTTTTCCAAGTTCTGAAGATTTTGTGCTTCACCTTACAAAATTAATCTATCAATTACTTGGGAGCCAAGGAAGAAGGGAGTCTTTCCTCAACTTTGTCAAAAAATTATTTCTAAAATACATTCTCAGGTTTTTTTTAGTTCTAAATTCCAGGGCTCATTACATTACTATATCAATTTAACTTATTTCACAGATTTTCTAATTGATGCATTTTAAAATGTATGTTTGATTTTTATTTCTTTCAATTAAAAACTGCTTAGATTTTCTAATACTGCTAAACACTTTGTTAAAAACAAATTTGGGATACAAAGATGACCAAAATGTCAGTCAATAAATTCAA